AGTGCTCGAAATGGGATATGATGCACTTTCCAGTGTGCCACGTGGAGAGATTTGCCTGAGAGGAAAATCCTTGTTTTCTGGTTACCACAAGCGACAAGATCTGACAGAGGAAGTCCTTATTGATGGGTGGTTTCATACTGGTAAAAATTCTTACAATAGTTAGCCCATACAGTTGAATGAAATAATTTACTTGCTTGATGGTCAGTCTTTTGGCTTGTCAAGATGTCACCACTGTGCATGTTAGAATGTTTTGTTGATGGTTAATTGTTGCATTAAAAGGTGGTATTTCTTGACTTTGAGTGGACTGCAGGTGACATTGGAGAATTGCAGCCTAATGGAGCAATGAAAATTATAGATAGGAAAAAGAATATATTTAAACTGTCTCAAGGTGAATACGTTGCTGTGGAAAACATTGAAAGCAAATACCTGCAATGCCCTCTTATCACATCGGTTCGTTGCTTGTTACTACATCCAATAGAAGTAGAACTATTTCCATACATTAGGACTCGCCTCTGTTTCCTCCATTGACGAGTTTGTATTTGGTTTAATTTGTGAAAATTTCCTTTTGGTTGTTTTCCTGTTTTCTAATGTTGTGGATATCTGAACTTTCCTCTGGTTTGCAGATTTGGGTTTATGGGAACAGCTTTGAGTCGTTTCTTGTTGCTGTGGTGGTCCCTGATAGAAAGGCATTGGAGGATTGGGCAGCTCAATAGTGTTGGTCAGAAGCAGCAGCAGAGCATCATTTGACGGATGATTTTAAATCATTATGTCAAAACCTGCATGCAACTAAACAAGGTAGCTAAGCACAGTGAAATGATGAAACTACCCCCTCTTTTTACTGTTTTGCAATCTCAATTTTCTCATCAGCACAATGAAATTACGGTTTTGCCCTTAGCTAATTGCTTTGTGTTTTCCCCGTTTTGCCCCCCCTCTCCTTCAATTGTAACGACTTGGAGCCTTCGTTCTATCATATGTTGGGTTCGCTTCTAACCAGGTTGGTTGGCCTGGTTGCGGGGCAATGATGGAAGAGGTCGGTCTACTGTTGGAGATTATCTGGAGGCTTCGATTTTTATAGGAATGGCGTGCGTTGGTCTTCTTTTTCATATCGAACTCCAGCTTCCTCTCTGTTTCAGTTTCTTTCTCTCACTGATCTGTAAGTAAATTTTGCTTACAAATCCACCCAAAAAGAAAAAGAAAAAGTTGCCAACAGGGTCTCAGGTTCGAACTTGCCTGGTCCTTTGCTAGTGTGCGCGCAAAAACTTCGCTCTCTTGTAACTTAGATTATCGCTTATATTAAAAAAGATTATCGCTTGTTTAAAGAAGAATTAGAGGACAACACTGAAACACACCAACTACAACGCGTATGAGCTTTTGTCGTTTTGGATTTTTCCACTACCCATAATTGGACTGGAAAAGACGTTTGAAGTTTCAACGAATGAACACTGGCTCTTCCTCTTTCTTTGTTTCCTTTCCTTTCCTTGTCTTCCCTTCACCTTCCTCGACTTCGCTGTGTTCTCACAAAGGAAGTTGAAGCTGAAGCTCGCAACTAACTTCCTCGCAGCTTCCCTCGCTCATACGATGCTTTCTTATTAAAAGAAAAGAAACCCAGAGGCCATGCCCTTCCCAGCTGTTTGATCAGCCTGTTTACTTCTCCGGCACACAATCAAACGACAGTCATTCAATGACATACGACGTCTTCCTGAGTTTCAGAGGTGTGGACACGCGATTCAACTTTACTGATCATCTGCACAGTAATTTGACTCGGAAGGGAATTAGAACCTTCATAGATGATGGTCTTAAGAGAGGGGAAGAAATATCACCGGCCCTTCTCAGAGCGATCAAGGAGTCGAAGATTTCCATAATCGTGTTCTCCAAAAACTATGCATCTTCGAAGTGGTGCTTGGATGAACTCGTCAAGATCCTTGAGAGTAAAGAAACAAGGGAGCAAATAGTTTGGCCTGTTTTTACAAGGTGGATCCGTCGGATGTACGGCATCAACGGGGCAGTTTCGGTCAGGCACTTGCTGACTATGAATGCGAGTTCAAAGATGACATGGAGAAGGTGCAAAGATGGAGGAGAAGTCTTACGAAAGCAGCCAATCTGTCCGGATGGTGTTTCATGAACGGGTATATATTTATTTTCAACCACGCACCTTAGCTGCTTACTAAACTTGTTTATTTCTGATCTTTTAATACAAAGGCATTGTTTTTAATGTCAAATGCTTTGAACATCCAAGGTTTAAAGATGTGGCTTTTGTGTGTCCTTTGAACCTGATCCTTATACATACAAACTGTCTAGTTTTTCGATCCCCAAATTAAGAATTATCCCTGCAAAAAATTAGCAAAATCCGAAATCGTACCATTTGATTATCACCATGAACATCTTGTAGAGGAAAAGTTGAATTAATCTATTTGTTGCCGCATTTTTAGATGACTAAATATTTCGGATTTTGGTAATTTTTTATAAGAGTGATCCTTGAATAATGTCCTTAAAAATAAACGGTTCATGTTATCTGAACCTGTGATTCATTTTTGTAAATGGTCAAAAGGGGATCCCTTTTAGAAGGGAGTTGCACACACACACACACACATAGGCTTTTTATCACAAATGGTCCCTGAGATTTACGAAATTATCATATTTTTTTTTTTTTATTTTTTGTTTTTTTTTTTTCTAATGGTCTTTAAGGTTACCCTCCACACATCATAATGGTCCCTACCGTTAGCTTTCGTCAAATTTTCTGTTAAAATGTTAGTGTGGCACATGTGTGGAGCTCACACATCCAATGGTATAAAGCCACGTAGTTTTAAATGTAATATAATATATTTTTAATATTTATAAAACTTAAAATTCATAAACAAAAAAAATTAACAGCAACTTAAATATTTTTATATATTTTTAAATATATTTCATGCTCTGTTGAGAGAGAGAGAGAGAGAGAGAGAGAGAGAGAGAGAGAGAGAGAGAGAGAGAGAGAGAAGTGGGTATGCGAGGAGGGGGAGTGATAGTTAACACAGGGAGAGGGAGAGAGAAAGCGAAGGGAGGAAGATGAGGGAGAGAGGAGTGGGTTTGAAAGGGGGAAAGGGAAAGAGAACACAAGGAGAGGGAGAGAGAGAGATATTTAAAAATATATTAAAAAGATGTACCATTGGATGTGTGGGTTCCACATATGTGACACGTCATCAATTTAACAGAAAATTTGATGGAAGCTAACGGCAAGGACCATTTTGATGGGTGGTGGCTAACCTTAAGGACCATTAGTGTAAAAAAAAAATTATGGACGAAATTTGATAATTTCACAAACCTCAAGGACCATTTGTGATAAAAAGCATATATATATATAATATTACAAAATGCTATTCATCATTAATCTTTTGCATATTGTATAACCTTGCAGGCATGAAGCAAAATTTATTGACAACATCGTTGAAGCGATTTCATTACAAGTATTAAACCATGCGTATTTGAATGTAGCAAAGTACCCAGTTGGAATAGAGTCTCGTGTGCGTGAGATAGATAAGCTTTTGGGCATTGGAGGAAACGATGTTCGCATGGTAGGGATATGGGGCACTGGTGGAATAGGTAAGACAACAATTGCTAAAGCTGTTTATAATTCCATCGCCCATATGTTTGAAGGTAGCTGTTTTCTAGATGATGTTAGAGAAAGATCAATGCCGTATGGAGGCTTAGTCGAACTACAAAATATTATTCTTTCTGACATTCTAGGGGTGAAAGAAGTAAAGGTGACCAATGTTGACAAAGGAATCAACGTGATAAAGAAAATGTTGAATGGTAAGAAGCTTCTCTTAGTTCTTGACGATGTGAATCAATTGGACCAATTAAACAAATTAGTTGGACGGTCTGATTGGTTTGGTTCAGGCAGCAGAATTGTTCTAACGACAAGAGATAAGCATTTGCTAATTGCTCATCAAGTCAGTCTAATATATGAGGTTGAGAAGTTAGATCATTATGAGTCCTTAAAGCTCTTCGCCAATTGGAATTCATTTTCAAGAAATGGGCACTTAGATGGTGATTATGTGAAACTTGCAAACAATGTAGTAGACTATGCTCAAGGTCTTCCATTAGCTCTTATGGTTTTAGGTTCACATTTATGTGGTAGAAGTATTGATCAATGGAAATGTGCATTAGATGGTTACAGAAGAGTGCCTAACCAGGAGATTCAAGACATTCTCAAAATAAGTTATAGTGCACTAGACGATGCGGTGAAGGAAGTTTTCCTTGACATTGCATGTTTCTTTAAAGGTGTAGGCAAGGACTATGTGATTGAAATACTAGAAGGTTGTGACCTAAACCCTAAGTATGATCTTGAAGTACTCGTGGAAAAGGCTCTTATAAATATTACAGAAGAAGGCAGGATTTGGATGCATGACTTGATAGAAGAAATGGGTAAAGAAGTAGTTCGCCAAGAGTCGCCAACTGAGCCTGGAAAACGTAGTAGGTTGTGGTTTCACGAGGATGTTTACCATGTTTTAACAGAAAACACAGTAAGTAGAATATATAAATTTTAAAAAACATTTTATTTTTATTTCACAAAAAACTTGTCCTTTGCTAATAGTATTGCTTTTTCATACTAGGGAACGGATAAGATCAAAGGTATTATGGTGAAGTTGCCTGCTGGGGTTGAGTCAGATGAGGTATGTTTGAATGCTGGAAGCTTCTCAAAGATGAAAAATCTTCGACTTTTTATAAATCGTAATGGGCGCTTGTCTGGGGAAGTTGATTATCTTCCCAATGAGTTGAGGTTCCTTAGATGGCCTGAATATCCGTCACAATCTTTGCCAGCCAATTTTAATCCAAAGAAACTTGTTGCTCTTACTATGCCTCGTAGCCGCATTTTACGACTGGATTTGGAATTCAAGGTATTTAAATTACAGCTTTTTCAAGAGTTTATTTTTTTATATATATTTTTTAAAGCATATTGGGAGTTTATTAAGAGCTTATGATGCGATCCTCTCTCTTTTTCTCTCTGTTTTGTGGGACAGAGTTTGAAATTTATAAATTTGGAGCACAGCAAATTCCTAAGAAAAACCCCTGACTTCTCTGGAGTCCCAAACTTGGAGAAGTTGAATCTAAACTATTGTACAAGTTTAGTTGAGCTTCATCCTTCTGCTGGATTCCTTCATAAGCTTGTTAAGTTGAGTCTTAGGGGATGCTGTAGTCTTACTCTGTTTCCAAGAATTGTCAACTTGAAATCTCTGCTGGGGTTGTATCTTGACGGTTGCATAAGTCTTGAGAATTTTCCTGAAATTGAGGGGAAGATGGAATCTTTGAAATACCTGGGTCTATCAAAGACTTCCATCAAAGAATTGCCTTCATCGTCAATTCGACATTTCACTCATCTCGAGAATTTGTATTTAACCGGATGTGAAAACCTTACAAATCTGCCATGCAGCATTTATGAGTTGAAGCACCTAAAGACAATTTCTGTCCTTCAATGCTCAAAATTGGTTTCATTTCCTAAAATGGCGAAGTCTGAAGATTCAAGGAGTGCAGAATCACTTGTGACTCTTCAAGGATGCAATTTAGCGTTTCCCAAGCTATCTAGATTCGAAGTGGACGGATCCAATCTTTCAGACATTGCCGATTTCCTTCTGACTCTTGATTGCATGACCACATTAACTAGACTTGATCTATCAGGAAGCAATTTCGTTAGTCTTCCCGTATGCATTAATAACTTTGTCAACTTGGAGCAACTTTTTTTGATTAGTTGCCAGAGACTTAGAGAAATTCCAGATCTTCCACATGCATTGGAATTTTTAGATGTGAGTGATTGTTTATCATTGGAAAGAGTTTCAAAATTGTCCAACATTTTGGAACGTAAAGAGTCTCAAATGTTCAGCCAAATGCACTTGACTAATTGTTGGAGACTGCGTAACAATCTGGTTCGAATTGCAAAGAAGAAAAATATGTTCATAAATCAAGTCAATCTCTTCTCTCTGTTTCTCTTGTCTCTCACATCTCATGTCATGGTTGAATTTCCAGGAAGGGGAATTCCAAAGTGGTTCAGTTATCGTAAGGATTTGAAGGATCTTTGCGAATGTCAATTCTCTATTAAAACCTCTCAAAATTTCAATTGGGAGAACAAAGGAATTTCTTTTTGTGCTTTTCTCGAAAAGACCAAAAATAGGTTCCTTGTTGAGATTAAAACCAGCATCAGGGAGTTTGCTATTGATATGTACGTGAAGGAAGCATGCCTTTCTAATATGTATCCAACAGAGAAAGAATCGAGTTTAGTGTGGCTGTCATATTTCCCTTTCCATGATTTGATGTCGAGAATGGCATGCACGAAAAGAACATGGATGATGCCGCCTTATTTGCCTACAATCCGAGTTCATTTTGTGCGTATTAGCAAAGCTGTGAAAAGCTTCGGAGTCCACCTAGTAATGCCACCAGGATGAAGACCTCAGTATAGAGGCATGGGTATGTCCAGAAAGATACCAATCGATCAATCCTCCAAAGGGAAAGGACAGTAGCATTCAAATGTGATTGGGATGATAAGGATTTGCATCCTTCTTACAAGCTGACATTCGCAAGCCCGTGGGTAAAATTCAGTGATCTGTATTTGTGATTGTTTGTGTTAATTCCCCGTGATCGGTTTCTTAGACTTCAATTGAGTTTTGAACGGTGGATGTTGGAATGGTGCAGTCTTGCTCTATGCAAGATGAGATAAGAGGAGAGGAGACTGGTTTGCACCCTATTGTTTCAGATTAGATGATGTCCACTAGGATATACCGTATAAAGTTATACTTCCAGAGGACTATTCCTGGTGGCTTACATGGTCTTGCTTTTCTTTTCGTGCAGCTGCTCTAATGGTTTCCTGGCTGTCTTTACTGCTTGCTGTTTGGTTTTGTAAATGATTTGTTACTGGTGTGGTGATTCTACTGTCCTTCCTTCAGTTTGGGGTTCCTAGTATTGCAGTCCCTATGGGTTGGTCTCCCCTTGGTGCGCCACTGTTTTTGGCTAGTTGCTCTTCACAGTACCTGTCTTTTGACCTGCTTTTATGGTTAGTGCTGCCTTGCTGTATTATTAAAGTGTGTTGCTGGCTGTCGACTTTGATCTTCCTGCGGCTGCGTTGTGTTTTTTATAGCAGAACAGATTGCTGTTTGGCTCAGCCTTATTTTCTCCTTGGTGTTGCTGCATTAGTTCTCCTATTTGTTGTTGGTTAGGGCTTTGCATGTTGCCTCATGTTGGGGAGAGAGACGGAAATTAATGAAGCTGTTGTTCCAGAAGAAATTGAAAGCTCATCCTTCATTCAATGTAGATACTAGTGGACTTAAAAAAAGGGGGTGCAGTCATCAACCCCAACAATGCTGTCCAAGTTCAAGAGTTGTTTTCGCAAGTTTAAGAGGGGCTTTCACAAATGCAACTACTGCTAATGAGGCTGTAAAGCTCCGGTCTTGGCCCCCTACCACACAGGCGAGACAATCCCTAGTGATTATTCCTGCCCTGCATCACAAGCACCATCCAAGTCGATATTTTTCACTGATTCCTCTGGTAGGAGCAATGTGCATTTGTTTATGGGTTTCCTCAAGTCTTCTTCCGGCTTTGATTTAACCACTGATTCTTGTACTTCCAAAAAACTTTGCGGCTCCAGTTGAGGCTTGTGTTATGACAGGCATTGGATTCACTTGCAGACCTCAGAATACACTTTCAGAATGGCCTTCCAGATAGACCAACACACACAGGAGATAATGGTTAGCTCTTTCTTCTCTGTTTGCCCCTGAATTTCCTTTGATGATATATAACTGTCAAGGCCATTGGTTGAACCTGGTCACCTCACCTGTGATTTAAGTACTCCTGAATATAGCCTAGAAAGCTATTTTAGCTATTTTAGCTAATTTTGAATGTTTTATCGTTGCTCCAACAAGCTACCAAAGTACAGTTCTGTTTCATTTTTGGTACACTATTGTAGGGCGAGCTCAAGATAATTTTTCCAAATAACCATTTTGCATAAGTTAATTTATCCATCAATTTATAAAAGTTTATTCACATTACGTACTCGATCACTTCTTATGGACTCATTTGAGGATAATTCTAATCTCGTTCATGAAAGATAATAATGTTTTTAATGCAGATGACATTGGTCAGCCAGATAGGCAATGAAATCATGCAGAGGAAGAAGAATGAATCGAATTTAACTGTCTCAAGGTGAATATGTCGCGAATTTAACTCTCTCATCTCATCTCTATCTGTTTGCCTCAGTAGATGAGATTCTGTTTGTTGGGGTCTTAGCACTAATTTCCACTTTCTTTATTCGAATCTTCTGAAGTTTTGAATATGTTGATTTTCCAATTGGTTACAGGTTTGGTATTTTGGAAACAACTTTTGAGTCTTTTCTTATTGCTGCGGTGGTGCTTGACAGAAAGGCATTGGGGGACTTGGGACCAGAGCATGCTTCGACCTGTTATTATATCTAAACCTGAAGGCAAGAAAAAAACATTTTTGATGAGCACAAAAGTAATGGTCAGAAACACCATACTCAATGCCCTTTTGCTAATTGCATGCTTGCTGATGGCTGATGTTTACTCGTCAGAATTCAGAAACACCATGGCTGAGGTTCGAATTTTCTAGATGTAAAGGGTCTTCATTTGGAACCAAACGGTCCAAATCCCTTTGAGACGTTAAATTTCAAAACACATCCATAGCCATGTCATCGTCCTTGATAGTGCTCCCAGCTGGGGTGTTGCAACTTGTGACTCGCATATGATTGGTTGGATGAACTTGTCTAATTGCTGGAGACTCTGTGACAATCTGGCCGGTGTGGCAAAGACGAAAGAGATTGTACTGTGTCTGATTGTTCTGTCCTCTGTGTTTCTCTCCCAACAATCTGTGTTTGAGGGAAATGAGTTTCCAAAGTGGTTCAGCTGTTGTAGGGATTTTGAAGGACCGCAGTGAATGTGAAGTTTCTGTTGAAATCCCTCCCAATTTCAAATGGTCAAAAACAGGGTTGGCTCTCTGTGCTACTGTTGAAATTAAGCAAAACAGTTCTGGCAATTGTTGCTTGATAGCCAGAGTTTACATGGATGAAGAATGCTCTCATGAACATGTGGTTTATTTCGATTTGAAAGAGAAGAGTCAGCTCACCTGTGGCTGTATTATATCCCATTTCATACAATGATAGCCAAGACAAGAAGTGGCTTGCCACCTTATAAGTGCAAAGTTAGTTTTGACCTTACCATCAAAGGTTCAGTCTTTTTCGAAAGCTGCGGAGTCCACCTAGTGATCAAGGATGACTTGCCAGTGCCCAAAACAAAGTTTTTCCCTAATCATTGCCTTCAAATGTAATGCTGGGTATGTCCCATTTGATTCTCTCTCTCTCTCTCTCTCTCCCCTTGTTTTTTGGCTTCCTTCTAATTAAGTTGTATTTCTTTCTTCTTTCGTTGTTGATGAAAAGAGTTCCAGTAACATATGATGTTTATTACATAAGATAATAAGAGAAGGTCCATCAAGAATCATCGAACAAATACTGAGCTCTCTCTACATCAAAGAGAAATAAGTCTCTTCCACAAGGTTTCTGCTCACACTTTCATAAATACAAACTAGACTCGTACGTAAACACAATGAAAATATGAATTTTGTTGGTGTCTACATGAATTAATACAAAAAAGGAATTTAACACAATGTCCAAACCACAGAAGACCTCACATGATGGTAAGAATGGTAGTAAAGTCTATAGGATGTCAAGCACCAATGCCCAAACAGGGTAGACGAACAGAATAACTATGCCAACGGTATTCGATACGCCATTGGCTTTTGTGAAAGCATTTCTGAACCCACCGGCTGCCCGGATGTGTTCTTGCAGCAAATAACCAGCGATGACAAGACATATTACAACGCCAATCCAGTCGCCCCTCACGGTGTTTGCAATTAAACTAGGAGCAACGACTATAAGGAGAATCAACGCAGCCGGCAATTCAAGCCACTCTGGAGGTTACCATCATAACCAGTAAGCACAAACAGAAAACAAAGGATCAACTTCTAGATAACATAACATAAATCAACTTCCCAAGCTAACGGAAACATTATAACTCAGCACTGGGAATAAAATTTGCATTTTACCTGGGAAATGTTTAGGAAAGAAAATCCGTAAGATGACAGCAACTAAAGCAATCCATTGTCCAATCTGTCCCCTGTGAAATTAACCATTTAGAAGAGTTTAGAGGGAGAGAAAAGAATGAACAGATAATAGGAAATATGCAACTGATAATACACTGAGTATAGAAAATAACCTGAAGATGTTGAACAATATTGAGGGAAGGGTAAAGAAAATGTAGGGGATTAAGAGCCCTGTAAGGATGTTTGATTTCCAGTTTGTTCGATCCAAGACCAACAGATAGCTGCAGTAAGCACAGAGAGAAACAGGTAAGGTCGTGCATATTTTCTCAAATCAAATCACTTTACATCAGAAAAAAGGTGATAAATTGACAATCTGTGCCACTGTCAATGACTGTGCACTCACTCAGAAGTCTATATATTCGCAATGATATTACTAACACCGTTAAAATCACTCAAAAAGTCTGCAATCTGTAAAAGAAATAACTGACAAAAAAATTCCACTTTAGCCTTCCATCAAACATACAAATGAAAAATCTTAGTTACAGAGCAATCACAACCAAAACTTTGAAAAAACCAACGTAGAAATAAGCACAGAATTTTCAGTACAGAACAGATCGTGTATTTTGTAAGACAGACAGAGCCACATGATAGATCAAGTATATGAAATTAACATGATTAAACTATTACCCAGAAACACATATGAATCAATATCTGTTAAAATCAAATTCATGACACAAAGATCAACCAAAAAAAATCTCAATAACAAGGAGAGGGGCACACATTGCAGCAACAGCAGCAACCCATTTGAGGAAAGAGGTGCCCAAGCCTAAGCTGCCCAGATGGACGGCATGATTGGCAAGCTTTTTAGCAGCAGTGGCAAGGTCTTTGAGATCGGAGTGGATCAATTCATTTGCATCTGATTCAGTCATCATTTTCAAGTAGCTCTGTTTTGCCATCTTCAATTTCTCTCTCTCTATCTCTCTGATCACAAACCCAACAAACACAAAACCACCCTTTGACTGTTCAAAACACAGACAGAACCAGAGAACAGCGAAGTTTACTAGAAGAAGGCAGAGGATAGATTTGACGTTGGGTTTTGTTGCGTATATAAGGAAGGAAGTGAGTGGAAGATTTGAGAAAATATCTATAAAAAGAAATTATTGGCGCCACGTAGCAGTATTGGCAACCAATAGTGTTCGGGCAAGTGGTGAGTGGCACCAGCTATTTTCAGATGTGGACGCTCCTTCTTTGTCTTCTGGATTAATCACAAAGGTGGACCCCTTGTTAGTTGTCTATGTCTGATTTTGTTTATTTAATTATTTTTCTTGTAAGAACAAAGGAAGTTCTGCATTATTGAATTCAAGCTTATAAAGTCGATTATCTTTATTTAAATATTTGAGGAAATTTGCAAAGAATCCGTTAGTTTTCGTGATTTGGAGTAATTGCTCCATTCATGAAAGGTATTGGGTTCGAGTCAGTTTGTATGAGTTTACTATATTATCACATCTGTTAATAGAAAATGTCATATATATATAGAAATTTTGTAGACACGTTGCCAATCCCCCCTAAGCAAAATGAACTGAAAGACCCAACAGTGTACCAGATGCACAATCTAACAGGCGACTTCCCAATTAAGTAAAATTTAAACTGCTTTTTTTGTCTTTTGTTTCTTGTTCTTTTTTTTTGTGGGTGTTTCTTTCTGGTTGTTGGGTAGTTGGTGTGTGCAATTTTACACTGTTTTCTTTGTCGACATATAGGTTCATGTAGTTTTGCAATGAGGTCCTTATAGTTGGGTTTCATTTGCAATTCGGGACATGTTTATAATTTGGTGATTCTTTTAAATCAGAAAGCGTCATCGTGTAAGGCTGTCGTGGAAATATCAAAATGTGAAAAGATCATTTTATCCCTCTGTCGCAAAATATCCCCGTTAGCATAGTGTCTTGTCTTGTCGACCGACTCATTTGATCCCTTCTTCATAATAAGTATTCAATTGTACTAAAGTATGATGACTTGGACTTTGTAGGCACCGCATATAATTTTGGCAGAAAAACCCCCATATGCAGTGCAGCCTTTCTCTCAATGTTCCATGCGGCATTTTTGTCAAGGGGGTTTGTGTTGGTTTTTACAAAGGATTGCAAACACATTTGAGTTGAAATTGGTCTCATATTGAAAAATTAGAGTTTTTTAAAAGTTATTAGGTCATTTCCAATGGTTGGAGTTCTCAAAATGGTTGATAGAGCCTCATTTAGAACTCCGATGGAATCTTTGGGGCTCTAAAGGTGTATCTCTTACAATGGAATGCCCTATATTCATGGCGGGCTCTATATTTTTAATGATGTAATTTGATTTACGTGTGTTTTTTTGTTTGTTAATTATTTTTTTTTAATGTTTGTTTATGGTTTTTTTTTTTTTTTTTTGTTTTTTTTTTGACATTTCAACAACAAAAAATTAAAATTTGGACAAGATTTGGAAATCAACATTTTATTTCATAGATATGATACAACAACATGGTTAAATTCAAACACGATGCACGACATTAATTTGGTGGTCCTCCCAAAGTTGGATATGGGTCCCTTGCATTATGACTTTCCATCCCTTTCTTATCTACATTCTCAGATAATATTGTGGTAGCATGGTGATAGCTGGATATGGGTTCCCTTCGTTATGGTATTCCCCCCTATACCATTTACATTTGTCAAATAATAATAGTGGTAGATGGATATGGGTCCCATTCGTTATGGCTTCAGATAAATTTTTTTATCTATTCATATTACATTTACAATAACCGTTGGATCTAATTACCTCATACGAATCTCATCTGTATATTGTTATCTTTGAAACCATCATATCCTTTATAAATAAACAACCACCTTATTTTCATAAGAGCACCTCCACCCCAAAAGGTAAGGGCAAGGCAAAGGCAAGGCAAGGTTTGACACTATTCATGTGAATAGTGTCAACATTGCCTTTTTTGGTTCCACCCCAAAAGGCAATGGCAAATACTATTCACTTTATTTTATTTTCTATTTTTTTTATACTTAACTATTAATTTTGATAGCTTTTCAGATAATATTTTCGGTTGCCATGTGTCACTATTTATTATAAAATTATCACCTAAAATTTCAGATAACATTTTCGGATAAAATTTTCAAATAAAATTTTCGGTTGCCACGTGTCCATATTTATTAAATTAAAATTTTCATGTGGAATTTTGTAGTAGAAAATTTGGTATGGAAAGTGAAAAATATTGAAAGGAGATGAATTGGTATGAAGATTTGATGTGGAAAGTGAATAATATTTGTAGGTATTATAGAAAAAATTTCCAGAACTTTTTGATATTTTTCAAAAAAAATTTTGATATTTTTTGAGGCACTGACGTCAGCAACCTGCGGGCAACAACCAAATCCATTTTTGCCTGTGGGCTTGCCCGGGCTGGTGGGTCCCATGACTTGCTCGAGCTAGCCTTTCTACGCTGGAGGTGGAATTGGGGCCTTAGGGGGCCTGTTTCCATGGTAGGACTGTAGCGCTGCACTTGCTCTAACACACCACCTCCCAACTCTTGTATTCTCAATATTCCGTCTTCTACCACCGCACTAGAATGACCAACAATGGATATGATAGCTCTTCTAGTGATGAAACAGGTGCCAACATAAAGTTTTTGGAAATGTTCGAAAGCTACCAAAGAAAAAAAGCAGTGAAGAAAAAGGAGAAGGCCTCGGTGGTTGTCCACAGGATACATCTTCATGACGACGTACTATACCAAGAGATCTAGTAAGTGCCCATGAAAACCTTTTGCAAAATTATCTTTAACCATCTGTTGTATCCCCCATTAGATTTTCATAATAGGTTTCGCATAAGGCATGAGTTGTTTAACCGAATAATGGAACAAATTGTCCATTTCGACGATTACTTTAAAGAAAAACCTGATGCCATTGGAAAGCTTGGTTTCTCACCACAAGTGAAGATGACAGCCACCTTGCGTATGCTTGCATATGGTAGACAACTGACCTCAATGATGATTACTTGAAGATACCAGAGACCACATCATTTGAAGCTTGCAAGAGATTCTGTCATGCAGTCAACAACTTATACGAAGCTGAATATCTTCTGGAACGACTTCATACGGTGAATCATCATCTACATAAATGGATTCACTCATTGGAGAAGCATTCACAAAGGGAGAGGATTGGAACCCTTCAAAGGGTTGCCACTTATGAGCATGTTGAACAACATCCCAACTATGGTCAAGGAGGAATGCTTTCTTGGTCTTCTCGAAAAAAAGTTGTTTTGAATCAATAATATACACATATTATATGCAAGAATTTAAATTAGTTGACAAAATATTAAGTTGGCAAAAGAAATTATAAAATTATAAAACTCACATTGTCAATTTCATTTTGGCCACTCTTGTTTAACTTTGCCACTTAAGTAAGACACTCAGAGAATTTGTTACACATTTGGGAGATGTTCGTCCAACGCGATTTCAAGCTCTTTGATGACCTAACTTCCTGGGCATCAGGATGAAATTGTATGAATTGATATCTTATCTGATTCCACATCATTCCATTTGATTGACAATTCCCGATAATTGGATCTTCACTAATGATTATCCAAGCTCTCCATATAGCAACATATTCATCGATGGAGTAATGTGCACCTTTTCGCTTCAAACCTTCGGCCATTGGTGGAAAAGAGATTAACAAATAATTACAAATAATAAAATAATTTAGTGAGTGAAAAAATTTGACAAATTGATCAAGAGTGATAAAGATGTTGTGGCGTGCAAAAATTATGAGAGTTATGGTAGATATTTATAGGAAGAATTAAGTTGCAAATCTATTAAAAAAGAAAAAGAAAAAAGAATGTAGTTGTTTATAGCTGCTGGTCTCACTTGTAGCCGTTATAAAAGTTGGTTCCACAGCTTTTGAAAAAGTGGATCAGCATGGTGGCAAGGATGCTATTGTAGTTCTTTAATTACGTTATGATCAAAATTTAAGAGAGGAATGTAAAGGATGTATTTAATTCTAGCTTTCAAAAACTTTTAATGAGTTTAATGGCCAGTTTGGCATTGCTGTGCTATGAAAATAATCGCTGTCAAATTTGCTGTGAGAGAAAGCAATTTGGTGTTTGGCAAACTTTTTGTTAAAAGTGTTGTTGGTACTGATTCCTAAACCCAGCACCTTCAAAATTAATTTCTGCATAATCAGAAAATGAAAGCACCCCACTAGCTGTTTTCCCTTATAATTTTTTCTCACATCAATTTTTAACAATAAGTGATTTTCTCATAGTTTACCAAATAGACTGGGCTTCCCAATTTTTTTTTAAAATCACTTATTATCCCAAATAAGCAATGCCAAACATGCACATGGAGGCATTCAATTATGACTTCTAAATAGTTTTTAAAAGTTTAGTGATATTGCTTTAAAAAGTATTTAAAAATTTTGTGGTATACAAAAAGTTAATGATTTTTGAAAACTTTGTTAAATGAATGACTTTTCAATACTTTAAAGCTAATTCTTAAGAGCATTCACAATAGGCTCTTTAAACCATCTCCTTACACAAATTTTAGGGAGGAATTAGAAAAATACAAATTCAACCATGCTCCTTATCCACCTCCTCAAGTAGAAAGACCTCTAGGAGCTCCTAAATTTAAGGGGAGAGAAAAGACTATTTGTGGCTCCCTATAATTTAATGCTGCTTTATTTAATGAGTATTTCAAACCTTTAATTAATGTTAATTATTTTTTATAATATATTTTAATAGAGATGGATCAATTAAAAATAAGTTATAGCATTTATGACTTCCTAAATTAGAGAGCATGATTGTAATTTAAATTTTTTAGATAGCTCTACCCTCCCCCCAATTTCTCACCACACCCAACCCTACCGCAATCACTCTTTGTCTTGAATCTAGCCCCATCCTCGATAGCTCCCCTTTAGTTTTCAATTAATGAAATCTAAATGATGAAGTTGATCGGAAGTTTTGGGTTTTTCGAAAAGGAAAGAAACAAAATGATAAGTTAACATCCTTATCTTCATTTTCTGTGCAGTGATATGAAGATGGGGTTGGTTTGGGTATCGGGTGGGGCTGGAAGTGGAGATAGAGAGAGAGATATGTGAGAGAACATTTTTCAAAAGTATAAATACTATTCATAAAATAAATATTAAAAAAAAGTAAATAAAAGTATGTAAAACTCGATGATAACAGTAAATGAAAGTATATCACTTACTCACGAAAAGTCTGTATAAAGTATGTGAAAGTCATTAACTTTGTGAAACTCATTCACTCACAAGAAATCTTTAAAGTTAGAATTAGATACATCCCTTAATCTATTCCAAGAAAAAAAATATTAAAAAATTAGATTTAGAAGTTGCATTGAAAGCAAACGTGGCTCTTTCTTTTCGTCTTGTTCTATTATTCCTTATTCATTCTTGACCGGTTGACTTCACATTCACAATGGAAGGAGCAGGCTGCTGCTTCGTAAGTATGAGGCCAATCAATACACAAAGTCATCGACATGAGTGGTTTGGTAACGGTAGTAGAATAATCATAACAACTAGAGATAAGCACTTGCTCACTGCTCATCAAGTTAATCTAATCTACAGTGTTAAGGAATTAGATGATCACGAAGCTTTTGATCTCTTCAGTGCGAATGCCTTTTCAGGAGAAAGACGACTTTCAGATGATTATAAGAAGCTCGCTAGTATTGTAGTGCAGTATGCTCGAGGCCTTCCCCTAGCTCTGGTAGTTTTAGGTTCACTTCTATGTTGTGGAAGTATTGAGGAACGGCTAGATGCATTAGATGGTTGCAAAAAAATTCCTAATCCAAACATTCAAGAAGCTCTTTAAATAAGTTATAATTCATTGGAAGATCTAGTGAAAGAAGTCTTCCCTGACATTGCATGTTTCTTCAAAGGTGAAGATAAGGACCATGTGATACAAATACTAGAAGGTTGCGGCCTCAACCCTAAGTATGGTCTCAAAGTACTCAAAGAAAAGGCCCTTATACATGTTAATGAAGACAACAATGTTTGAATGCATGAATTGTTAGAAGAAATAGGAAAAGAAATAGTTTGCCAAGAGGCACTATTTGAACCTGGAAAACGTAGCAGATTGTGGTCGTTTATCAAGTCTTAACAGAAGGCGTAGTAAGTAAACTCATATATATATACATAAGAGAAGATCCTCAAATGTCAATAGATGAAGCAACAAGTGGTTTATGCCCGTACTTAACAAGGACAGTAACAACATTTATCACCAAACACCAACATTAGCGCCACGTGGCAGTATCAGGGCAACCTATAATGATTTGGCCAAGTGGATTTGGACGACGCCTTCTTTTGTCTTATGGATTAATCACAAAGTTGGACCCCTTGTTAGATGTCTCTTTCTGACTTTGTTTATTTAATTATTTTTCTTGCAAAGAACTAAGTGAGTTCTGCATTAAAGTGGATTATCTTTATTTATTTTTATTTTTATTTAATTTAATTATATATTTGAGGAAATTTTGCAGCTTGACACGTGGCCAATCCCCCCCCAAAGCAAAATGAACTGAAAGACCCAACAGTGTATCAGATGAACAATCCAACAGCCAATCTAACCGCATCCAAGTCCCTTTTCTTTGTGGGGTTTCTGGTTGGGGTTTTTTTTTTAAAGAAATCCTTTTCTGGTGGGTTTGCCGTGTACAATTTAAGTTAACACTGTTTCCTTTGTTGTCGACCTGTAGGTTCATGTAGTTTTGCAATGAGGTCCTTATAGTTGGGTTTCATTTACAATTCAGGACAAATTTATAATTTGGTGATTCTTTTAGAACGAAATATAAATATTTGAAAATATTATTTTATCCCCTGGTCGGAAAATATCATTTTGTCCTGTCGACCGACTCATTTGAACCCTTTCTCACAATAAGTATTGATTTCTGTCGATGTTTTGTCAGAAAAACCCAATGTATGTGCAGCCTGTGTCGATGTTTCCCATGCGCAACCCACCTGACATTTTTGTCAAGGGATTTGTTTGATTAAGAATAATAAAAATGCTGATTCTGCAGCTTGATTGTTATTTTACCTTCAAGAATTTGTATTATCATTTTCTCTAAAAAAACTACGCATCTTCAAGAGTGGTGTTTGAAGGAGCTCGTTAAGACCGTCCAATGTCAAAGAGACTAAGCAACAAAGTGCTTATTTATACCCATATGTTAGAGCAAGTCCACCGCAAGTGTGTAGCCCAGGAAGGAGGGGGCCTTAGGCCCGGAAGGAAGCTCCAGCCAGAAGATCCAGTTCAGGCAAGGCATGGGACCTACGAGTCCGGACAAGCCCACATGGAGATCTGGCCCGTCGTATTGCCTTCGGGCAGGGCAGGTGCCAGAAACCAACAGCTACAAGTCACGTGGCTTCTCCTGGAGGCTCCGATCCAAAAATGTTGTCCATTTTTTAGGCAAAAAAAATTCGAATTTTTTTGTAAAAGATATAAAAAATTTATGGAATTTTTTTCTATAAATACCTACCAATATTATTCACTTTTCACACCAAAATTTCTACTACAAAATTCCATTTGTGTAAAAATACAAATGACCTCTTCCATCAAAGCAGGAGGGTCGTGGACAAACGTTCGAAGCAACCAAGATCTTGGCGGTGAGGTAAAAAAAAATTGCCATTTTATTCAATTTAATGTCCTTTTTTTGTTGTTGATATTTTCTTGCATTTCCAATTTCATTTTTTTAATAGATTATTCAAGGAAAAACAAAAACAGGGAAAATCATTACACTTGACTCCTCAAGTGAACAATGCCCGCAGTCGATTAGAGCATCCACAATGGGCTCCTTAGACAAATTTTAGGGAGGAATCATAAAAATACAACTCCAACCACACTCCCTATCCACCTCCTAAAATAGGGAGTCCTCTAGGAGCTCCTAAATCTGAGGAGAGAGAAAGGACTCCTAGTGACTCCCTATAATTTAATACTGCTTTATTTAATGAGTATTTCAAACCTTTATTTAAGGTTAATTATTTTTTATTTTATTTTTAATAAAGATGGACCAATCAAAAAAGAGTTATAGCATTTATGACTCTTCAAATTAGGAAGTATGGTTGGAGTTGAAATTTTTTAGAGAGCTCCTAAAATAGATTTCTTAAATTTTTAACTAAATTTTAACTAAGAAATAGAGAGCATCATTGTGGATGCTCTTACAGTGGTACGTTTCGTGTCATAAATAATTACACTATTACGTCCTCCTAAGGAAAATACTCCCTCACATCGTGATCCGGTGTATCGCAAACATTTCATCTGACTTGTTATGTTTCTAGAATGGAGTGCAGAGTCACTTCCAACTAACTCAAATATTTCATATGACTTGCGGTATCTTAACCTAAGTGGTTGCAAGAGCCTTAAAGTAATTCATAAACTTCCACCAGAAGTGGAACGGGTAAATGCTGCTGATTGTGTTTCATTGGAACGATTTGCAAAATTGTCTAGCATCTTGGAGCATAAAGAGGAACAAATGATCAAATGCATCGCATTGTTTAATTGTCAGAAGCTATGTGACAATTTGGCTCATGACTTGTCAAAGATTGAAAATATTTCACTGAATAAGGTCAGTCTCTGCTTTGTCTTTCTCTCCTCTAAGCAATCTCAATTCGACATTGTATTTCTCGAAAGTGAAGTTCCTAAGTGGTTCAGTCATCGTGAAGATTTGTATGAAATGAGTGATGAATATGAGTTTTCTTTAGAAATCCCTCGAAATTTCAAACTGCAAAATAGAGGATTGTCTATATGTGTTGCTGTTGGAATTAATAAAATATTAAAAGAAATGATGCAAAGTAAGATTGGTGTTGAAATTAGCCAAAAAGAAAAAGAAGAAGTAATGCAAGAAGAAGAAGAAGAAGGAAAATGGCAAAGTAATTATGGCCGTTGCTTATTCATAGCTAGAATTTACATTAACGGAGAAAGTGTTGTGGTGCATTTGTTTTTCTTTGAACAAACATATGTGGAATCACCTCATGTGCTGCTGCTTTATGTTCCATTCGTTAGGCTTGCACGTTCTATTGTTAGCGAGATCCTAGCTTAATTAGGATATTTATTTCCTAGTTTATTATGATTATCTTTCTTTTCTTTTGTACAGATATTGTGTAATTAGGTTTTTATCTTGTTTCCTAATTTGACCCTACTAGGGTTACATACTTGTACTATAAATACATTCTTTTGAAGAATAAAATACAACCTGAAAAATATTCTACCCATGTTGTTTGACTTGGCATCAAAGCCTAGTTTTCTGGTAACCTATGTGTTGCGCCTACTCGTGTTCTATCCCTATAATATTATTTTTCTACTTGTGCCATGTGTGCCCTAGGGGTGGGCATCGAGACCGGAAAACCGGAACACAGAACCGAACAGGTGAAAAAAAATCGAACAAAAAATTGGTTCACAAAAAAAGTCAACAAACCGAACCGAACCGGTTCCAACCGGTTTCAATTCCGGTTTTACACCACATCGCACAGGACCAGGCCGAATTGGACCGGTCGCTTTTTTTCTTTTTCTTTTTACAAAATTTTAAAATCTAATGCCATATTTTAAATTTTATAATCATTATTTTTCCAAGTTCAACTTCAAAAAATTTCTAAATGTATGAATTGGATTATTTGTTAATTTCTAAGCCAAAAAAATAAGTTATTTATTATAAAAATTTTAAATTTTTTTATTTAAAAAAATTTAAAATAATAAAAAATTAATAATCCGGTTCAAAATCTAAACCAGTTAGAACCGAACCGACCGATTTTTGAAATTTTTTTTGCCTAAATCGGACCGAACTGGATTGGTTAAATAGTACCAGTTTCGGTTCCAGTTTAAGGTGAGAACCCTGCCCACCCTTAGTTTGCCCTCCTGGGTTTGTGTGTTGTGTTGTAGTATTTGTGCCATTCTTGTCTTCGTGCATGCCGTATTTGTGTCTTTGCTATGTTCCTCTGTGTTCGTGCCTGTCTTCGTGCATCTCCCATATTTGTGTCTCTGTTGTGTTCTATTGTATACTTTGCCGTTATCTGTTGAGTTTCTACTGCAATCATGGGTGGTAACTCCATTGCTAGTGCTGCTGCCTCTGCAAATTTGTGTGTTTCTGATTCTATTTCAGGTACTGGCTCCAATACTTGGAGAAGGTGCTCAGGTGGAGGACGACTCTTACAAAAGCAGTTAATTTGTTGGGGTGGTCTTTCTTTGACGGAACAACATATGTGCTTCAAAAGAGAACAAAAGTTTTTTGATGGAGACTAGAGGATTGAAAAGTGGTGTTTCAATCGCACTTGGAGCATGACGAGATTGCCGCGATGAACGAGAGAAATAGGGGGAGGGGAGGTGCTCTTTGAGGAGAAATTTTTATATGTTCCGGGTACACCACGTGGCTAGTGTACAATCCAATAAATATAGGACATGTGAAATTATTGTCTAACTTACTGCATTTCTTTTTATAACATGTGACAGGCTGCATTGCAAATATTTCTGGACGTAGTACTTCTATTCACACGACGTAACAATATAACAGAAGACATAATAAGACTTTATTACGGCGATATTTATATTCCGTCGTGATATTGAAATTCAAACAACGTTAATATTAATTTAACGTCGTGGTATGAAAATTCACACGACGTGAATAATAAGATATCGTCGTCTAGATGGAAAACAAAAACAGTGAAGTTGTTCCAAACCCTTCTTTCTTTGTCTTTGTATTTTATCAAATTAGGAAAAACAAAAACCTTGGTTCAGAGAAATCAAACCTGCAATGAATATATCTTAGACAATCAAATAAAAAAAACGACGGTCATTTTAAAAACAACTTAAAACAACTTTCAGACAACGCTAGGACGACTGACCAACCGTCATGGTCTATAAATCCAACCACGTAAATAAGAAGCTACTGTCGTCTTATTTAGTTGAAGTAGAATAAACAGAGTTGTGTTCAAAGTTGGAAACTTTCCCCCTTTGTCTGTATATTTTATCAAACTTGGAAAGAATTAAAATGATTTTGGCCAGAAAAAAGGTAAAAATATTTTCAAAACAAAAACCGTATGAGCAACAAAAATAGTGAGAAATGCTTACCTTTTGCATGCAATGAAAGATTTCTCTCGGAGTTTGATGTTTAAGTTCAGAGACGACGACGAAGACGAGAGGAAGACGATGAGATACACCAACAGTGCTCTGAGAAGGAAAAAAGACGGAAAGTTTTCTCTCGGAGATTGAAATTTTTTCTCGGGTTTGGAAACAGTGCAAGTGTAAGTCAGGTAGACGAAAAGTTGAATATATTCACAAACCGTTTCATAAAACGACGCGATTAATAGAAAGCGCCTTAGTATTATATATTAAACGTCAGTATATGTTTCCACCGCCCTAGTAAATTGTTTTAACGACCCTTAGTTTTCATAAAATGCCGTGTTTATATATAATTCCACGACGATATTTTCTTCAATGTCAGTTTTTTAATATAGCGTCGTGATAGATATTAAGAAAGATATTACCAAAATAAAAGAAAAATTAATTAATTTTAAAAAGCAATAAAAATAAGACGTCAGTTTACAGAGAAGGTAGACGTATAAATAGAAAAACTACGACGGTAATTTAAACTTAGGACGTGGTAAATAAATACGACAGTAGTGTTGTAGGTACCGTCGTAGTACACTCCAAAATAATAAGTTGATAAATTAATCTCTCGCGTCATGGTACATAGATTTAACACGTCGTGTTTTTGTACCATACCGACGTGGATTATGTTATAATATATTACGTGGATTCCATTAAAGAATAATCGACGTGGATGTTTACAATTAAACAGCGGTTTGTGTGTAAGGACCGCCGTGGGTTTTAAAGATTTATTGTATAAATTTGACGCTTTCTTTCAGTTTCAGTTTTCATTTAGGGTTCCAAGTTCTTCTAGAGGCTCGTCTTCCTCTCTCACAGACACACATGCATCATCACTCTCTTTCACATCTCAAAGACAATAATTTGGATGTTAATGATGTATGCGTTTTGGTGTATCTCAAAGACACATTGTCTTTCTCAAAGAGAAATGGAGCTTACTCTCCAACAAATCTATGTCCACAAGAAGAAGCTTGTCATCTAGCCTTCTCACTTCCTTGATCAAGCCTGATAGGAGAGTTAGTGCTTCTGAATACTCCTTGCTTTCCATCAAAAGAGATGCAAGCCTAGCCTCCACTCATTGTCGAAGGAAAGTTCGCTTCTCAGCACGGGTCCACTGCACCATCTCTTTGCAAAGGGAAATCTGAAGATTAGATGTGCCTGGTACTTTAGCTACTGCATCAATAATACTATGTACAATTTTTGCAGTTTTCACCTTGGGAATCAAGTCCTCAACTGGGTGAGAAGGTTACGAAGATCGTCTGCTCGATTTTCTTGTCTAAGAAGATCCGTCAGATTTGTGATAGCCTGTTCCTTTATCCGTAGAGCTTCATAAGAAGAAGATGGGTATTCAAGAATGCGATAAAGAATAGAAATGGCTTCAGATGGGGCTTTGGCCTCTAAAGCCTGAGCAATCGAATCAGTAGTTGCTGGGAGATATGATGAAGACATTGTCAATGCTTTGAACTATCCAAGTCCTGCAGAAAGAGAACAGACCAAACTATTAAAATCAAATAATAAAATTACCTCAGCATCTAAATACGAATATAAAAACAACGATGGTTTTTTGTTCTACCGTCGTCTTTTTTGGGTGGTCTTTTTTTGTTCTACAAATGTCATCGTAGTATATTAAAGTAAGATGGCGGTAGGTTTATAATTACCGACGTCTTTCATTTCTACGTCAGTTACTTGATTGATTCTGTCGTTGGTTTTTTGCTCTGAGACTAAGACGACGCAATATATTTGTTTCGCGCCGTGGTGTGTCTAATAAACCGCCCTAATATGTCTGTACTACGTCGTGGAAATACCATAACCGATGTGGGAAGTATTTTATACGTCTAAAGGGTTGAACGGACCGACGTAGATTCTTTTTGTTAAACGTCGTTAAGTGTAATATAACCGACGTGGATTTGATTTTTTAATTATAAATAGAGTTTTTTTTCACGAGTTCTTTCAGTTTTAGTTTTCAATTAGGGTTTCAACTTCTTCTTGCCTTTTTCTCTGTCTCACCTCTTAGGAGGCAATTGTTTGGATGTTGGTGTGTGTGTATGTTTGTGTATTTGATTCACAAACATACACACATCACCAACGTTCAAAAAATTATCTCTCTGAATGCAAATATGTGGCTGCCGTCGTGAAATTTTAGGAGGCAATTGTTTGGATGTTGATGTGTGTGTGCGTTTGTGTAGATACACAAATGCACACACATCATCAACTTCCAAAAAATTGTCTCTCTGATTGCAAATCTGAGGCTGCCATCGTCAAATTTCAGAGGCAATTTTTTGGATGTTAATGTGTATGTGCGTTTGTGTATCTCAAAGACACAAATACACATACATCATTAACCTCTAAAATATTGTCTTTTTATGGTCTGATTATGATGAGGAACAGAGTTTCATTTGGTAAGATTTCGTAACCCTTGGGATCTCAGAAAAATCTGATTATGTCGGCGGTTTTCTATATAAATCGTCGTGGTTATTTCAATTCTAGTCATTAAGTTGATATACAGACGTAGGATAACAAAATCCAAGAAAGAAATTGTTAAAAAAATTCCTATTAAGACAACGGTTTAAATATAAGGTATGCCGTATAAAGTGAATAAATACGACGGTAATTTTAAGTTCACGACGTATCTTTTGGGATCTTAGAAAAATATGATTCTGTTGGCGGTTTTCTGTATAAACCGTCGTGGTTATTTACAATTTTTGTCATTAAGTTGGTCTACCGTCGTAGGATAACAAAATTCAATAAATAAATAGTAAAAAATAATATTATTAAGACGACGGTTTAGATATCAGGGTAGACATATAAAGTGCATTAATACGACGGTAAATTTTATAATATGTCATTAAATGAAAACCCCAACTTAGTGAGAGTTAAAGATACCGTCGTCGAACTATATAAGAAAGACGTCGATAAATTTATCTTTGCTGTCGTTGTACATTAATTTAATACGGCGGTATTTTGTATTATATCGACGTGGACTTATTTGTAATTATACGGCACCTTTTTCGAAAACTTGGTATTGTTAATTTCTGAGTAAAAACGGTGGCATTTTTTTACACCGTCGTCTTTACTTTCTACGTTGGTCTATTCATACCTTATGTTGTTCTTTGTTGGCTTAGATTTTACTCTGCGGAAATCATTTTTCAATAAGACGTCGCTTTTTTAATTAGTTGTGTCGTTTTTTAGAAACAACCATTGGAATCTCCATTTTTTAGGTGTTTAAGTTGTTCTTACACGGCGGTTTTATAGAACCGTCGTCTTTTAAAAAACAACGACGGTTTTCCCCTAAACCGTCGTTTTTTTCTGGTCGTCTTTGTCACTTTTTGTAGTAGTGTTTCTTGGGGAAAATGCGGTTGTATGGTTGTTGGGCCATTTCAGCTGCAATTTGCCCTCAATAAGGTAATTTAAGTTTTGTTGAACGAACATTACAAGTGTCTTTTTCTTCAATAAGGTAATTTAAGTTTTGTTGTCCGTTTTGTATCAAGGTGTTTGTTGATGCTTGTGTTATTATTAGCAAAGGGACGTAAAGGGAGGGAGGGTTAAATAGATATGTTATGTGTGGCTGGATGTGTGGATCTCTGAGTTGAATTTCTTTTGCACAATTGGGGCCATATGGTCATCATCAAAGACTTTGCCACAAGGTGTTGATTGAGAGGAGGAGGATGATAATCAAGTGAGAAACGGGGAAGCTGCTGAAACATAACAGAGATATTGCCCTGTCTAATTTGAAACTTATAATCAAGAAGTGTGTATTCACATGGAGAATAAGCTAATCAAGAAGTGTCAATGTGTCATGCTTCTTTTCCATCTTCTTGGTGGAGAAACTGCCAGAATTAAAAACCTTTCATCTTTCTTCTTTTTGGTGTAAACTTCAAGCTTTCTTTGCTTTTTATTTTTTATTTTTTATTTTATTTTAAATTAGGTTCGTCAAGTGATATCTTTGTCATGTGTTGATGGGTCTGGTAGGTAGGCCTATGGTTGTCATTTCAAATGTGTTAGTGGAGGTCTCCTTTTATCATTGAGAATCATGTATATCTTTCTGAGAAATTGCGTGGAAACGTAAAAGAAAGTTGTTTTTGTTTTCTTTTCTGAAAAGCACAAATTAAAGTACAATCACTTTGATTTCTTTTCTTTCTTTTGTTTTTTAATAAAGAAAGTGTGCTACCATTCCGAGTAGGGAACTGTTTGATAAAGCTCTCTCCGGGAAGTGTTTTTCACAAATAGATGATCGAACATTGTACCTCAGAAAGTATCCAGCTAACATTCACCCAACTTGCAGGCCTAGCCAGTTTACCACTAGATCAAACCCCTTGGGTAATGACTGATTTCTTTCGAATCGAAACTTATTTGCCAAAAATTGTTTTCAAACCTACAAACACAAGGGGAAAAAAAGGTCCAATTATTTTTTGTCAGTTAGTCTCAAGTTAGACACTGGTAATAAACATTCCCAGTTTATTAAAGAAATTACCTTACATATATATTGAACTTAAGAGAGGAATCTTAATCTGCCCAAAAAATAAAAGCTTAAAAAATTGGTTTAGGCCCTATTTGGGATTGTTTTTTGGGAGATTCACTATTATACCCAATATAGGGGCCCAAATTATAAAAATACCCCATATGAAATGGACTTTATAAACACACCCAAAGCCCATTTACAATATAACAAAAAGGCTTTTAACTTCTTATAAATTACAAAACTGCCATCAATTTCTTAAAACAAGCCCAACCCCAAAATCTCATAAAAATACCCAAAACACTCAATATGCATCAAAGTAATTTAATAATCAATATTAAATTCAATAAAGCCAGCTGTTATTTTTTGAGTTTTTTTTGGGTTTGTTTATAAAAATTCAATTGAGTAGGGTTTATTTATAATATTAGTGTTAAGAATGGGTATATCACTAAATATCTCTTGTTTTTTTTTGGCCAAAAATCTGTTTTACTTTAAAGTTAAACAATTTAAGATGTTTGGTAAAAATAAAATATCTCAATTATTTTAAAAGCAGTGGTCTTTTGACAGCAGCTTTTAAAAATAGGCTTTGGGTTACTTTTCAAAGCTGCTTTCAAAAGAAGCAGAGATGAACCTTTAATAAAAAAAAATTTAATTCCCAAAATACCATCATTCATTTTAAAAAATAACACCACCTCCACTTCCACATCCAACTCCACCACTTGCACCACCACATTCACTACCCCCATAACCATTGCCACCGCCACCACCACCTCCACCTTCACCTCCGCCACCACCACCACCACCACCTCCTCCACCTTCACCTCCACCGCCACCACCAACACAACCACCACCACCACCACCATGTTGCCAGCTCCACCACCACCACCACCACTTCCAACTCCACCTTCATCACCACCACCACCTCCACTCCATCACTGCCACTACTACCACATCATTAATACATAACACTTTTAACATCATGTCTATTTTAGTCATTATTCACAGTTATAACAATTTTATATTAAAATTTACCAAACGGTTTTGACACTGCTTTTTGTACTAACAGGACTTTAAAAATATTGTTTACCAAGCATGGAGCTACTTTACTTTACAGCTAATTATTTTCAAAGCACAGTAGAAGCAGCTTTTTAAAAAAGTGACAGCAATCCCAAACTAGGCACCGAAAGCAAACTTGGCTCTTTCAGTCTTATTCTATTTGTCATTATTCTTGACCAGTTGACTTCACATTCACAATGGAAGGAGCAATGTCATCGACATGAGATAGCAGTACAAACTATTTCAGACTGTTTATGGATTCAATTGCCATTCATGGGCCTTCTTCCTATTCTTCATCTTCCCCTCATTCATGGACATACGATGTCTTTCTCAGTTTTAGAGGTGAGGATACGCACTATAATTTTACAGACCATTTGCATAGCAGTTTGGATAGGAAGGGGATCAACACCTTCATAGATAATGACAAGCTTGAAAGAGGAACAGAGATATCGCCAGCGCTTCTCAAAGCAATGCAAGAGTCAATGATTTCTCTCATCATATTCTCTGATATACCCATTCCTAAGGAGGCATGACGTGATAATGGACATGCTAGGTGTTAGGCATGGACGAGAGATGCGAGGATTGAGATTTGGTAGGTTTCATGAGGGTGGATCAGGTTCTTCTCATAGACATGCTGATAGGGTGCATGAGGCACAGTTGAATTGCAGAAGGCAACTCGATTGGCGACTGATCGTAGAGTCAATCAATTGGAAGTTGATTGCAATTCTATGTGGCTTTTATTGCAGCGGGTTGTTGTTCAGATGCCCGAGATCTCGATCCCATTCGACTTAGGCTCTGTACATGCTGAGGAAGACCACCAACAACATAATACTTCTTTAGGGTAGCTTATTGTTGGTCCTTTTTTTCGCCTTCCTCTCTAGTGTCAATCTGCTTCGGAGAATGGGAAGAAGTCGGGTCAACACCAATTCCCAGATTGGATTTCTGGCTCGTGAGAGGGCTCCTTCAACTTCAAATAAAATTGAAAGTTGGATCAAGTTGAGAAGAGCGGGCAAGCTCGAGCTGGGCTCTAATGACTTCCTTCTTCTGATCCGATCTCAAGTTGCGTAGATAAATGAAAGGTATTTAAAAAGTAACTAAAGCAAATTTCAGAAAGAAAAAGGTTCCATATGTTGGAAATTTCTCTATCCAACTATATGGTAACAAGTTGAAACGAAAGCCAAAGATTTTCTCCATTTAGCTACTTTTAAAGATAAATTAAAATATAGAAGAAATTGGAGATTTCTATATCCAATTCACATAGATTTTTCCTATTAATAAGAAACTCAAATTGATTGTTTCAACAAGAATCATACCATGAAGATGGCATAGCAATAAAAGATAAATGTAGGAGTTGTCAACTGGTTACCTAAACAGTAAATTGGCTATTTGAAAAAATCTTGAAGTTTGTTCAAGTGTTTTTAAGGCGTTGCATCTAATTTTGGAGAGAGAGTCCTCTTGTGCAGCTGTAGATCTTCTATATTTATAGGCAAGAGTCCCTAATGATGAAAGCTGGAGGAGGGTACTTAGATGTTGTCCAAAGTCAGCCGTTGATCAGTCCTCGTGAGCCGATCTATAGGTAAGAGAAAAGGATTTCTCGGACGAAACTACTGATCTCCAAGGATGCCCCTTTGATATGTGTCCTTTCGCAGCTAGAAATTCAGTTGGGAAATGGTTCCTTTCGATTCTGGTGTCCATTATCCAACCTGCTTTCTTACTGAGAGAGACAGCGGTCAAGTCATTATTAATGGCAATAACCCATCTCTAGACCTTCACGTGGGTCATTGGGTAACGGTTACCCATTTTCTTAACTTTAGTGTGTACCAAAACTGAGATCTTTTCGTACGGGTTTTTCAGAGGGTTTCGCCCATGTGTCTGTCCCAAAACCACAAAAAAAAAAAAAAAAAAAAAAAAAAAAGAAAAAGGCTGGGTTTGAGTCTAATATAATCTTATTTGAAAAATAAAATAATTTTAAACATATTTTCCAAATATGATACAAACACTTATATATATATATGGATGTCGTAGAAAAAATATATATCGTGTACTAGAGTTCCGAAATATGTTGTAATACACTTATGGATCCTATTTTTAACCATTGGATGATTTTTTTTTAATGAGATGATGAGGTTAGGATAAAAGTTAAGCAAATCGGAATATGTGCAGTATAGAATAAGAGGAAAAGATTCCATGAGTGGTTATGGAGTCCACTTTGTTTGGTATATATGTGAAAGACCTTTCTCATTTTACATGGAGCAAATTGCGCTGAAAAGACGCATGCGCGTCATTAGTCCACTTGCTTGGCATCGCATATGCGAAGCAGTTTCCTACCTAACTTTTTCATGTGAATCTGAAGTCTCGTGAGGCAATAAGATTAAGGAAAGAAAAGGAGGGAAATTAAAATACAAAAGAAATAACTTAAAAGCAAAATGCCAATCGCCTTCGATTTAAGAGTTTTGACTTGCTCTAGTTAGCATGTGTCTCGTGTTCCACGACTCCAGTAGTTTATTTGATCTTGTCTTCTGTCGCTGGCTTGCCTTGTCTCCTTGTTTGTGTTGTTTTTCTAAAACTATGAGCCCGGAAATGGTAGATACGGTTTGTATTTAGCAGTGGGTTGTTAGTTAGATTGGTTTACTCTTATTCACAGTGAAGGTAGCAAGCTAGGCTTGAGTTTATGGATTCAGTTACCACTGAAGAGGGTTCTTCCTCTTCTTCTTCCACCGATGGATGGACATACGATGTCTTTCTTAGCTTTCGAGGCGAGGACACACGCTACAGTTTTACAGACCATTTGCACAGCAGTTTGGTTCGGAAGGGGATCCACACCTTCATAGATGATGGGCTTGTAAGAGGAGAAGAAATATCACAAGCGCTTCTCAAAGCAATTGAAAGGTCGATGATTTCTCTCATCATATTCTCTGAAAACTATGCATCCTCCAAGTGGTGCTTGGATGAACTCGCTCATATCATGCAATGTAAAAAATCAGATCAACAAAAGGTAATTCCAATTTTTTACAAAGTGCATCCCTCAGATCTACGACACCAGACAGGTTGCTTTGGGAAGGCATTTGCTGACCGTGAATGCAACTTCAAGGATGATCCGGAGAAGGTGATAAGATGGAAGGCAGCTCTCACAGAAGCAGCAATGTTGTCTGGGTGGTATCATACAAGCGGGTAAATATTTTACCACTGTAGTTAATCGGCTTTACTAGCTTCTTTACTAGCTAACTTCATTGCATGCAAGCTTCTTTGCGCGAGAGGATTTTTTGCAGTTATAATTGTTACAAAACTATTATTTTGATAATACTACTTCAAGTAATCAACATTGCTCAATATAGAAGATGTACATGATTTTAATTCATGTTAAAGTGACAAAACATCAATGCTATAAAGAAAATTCAATAAGGAAACATGTCGATATCAAGGCCGCACACATTTTATGAACACATGTAGATATCAAGGCAACACGACACTCATTTATGTGTAGAAAAAGTTTACTTTGACTTTTTTTTTTGGTTGTTTTCCTCTTTTCGGCTAAGGTTGCTGATGGAAGGATTTTTGGTCCTCCTTTTTTTCAATACCCAAAAATGAAGTATTAGGGGCAGAAAAATGGATGTGCCCTTATTAGTAATTAATTAGGGGTTGAAAAATGATTGGCCCTTATTAGTAGTGTTTGGGGCGAATTAAAACACCCCTACTAAATGCGCTAAAAGTTTTACATGTGGCATATTTAGTAGATGGACACAAGTGCCCCCTAGTGAAATTTTAAAATGAAAAAATCAAGTGTTTAGGGTTCATAAATGGTTCTCAAGGTTAAAATCCTTTTATAAATTGTTTTTTCGTTTTAAACAATAATATAGTGTCACGTGTATTTAAACTAAAATATATATTTTTGAATAATTTTAAAAAGAAAACCAAAATTTTATGACTTTAAAATTAAAAAATTAAAAATTTTGCATGGACCATTTGTGATAGGTGTATGAACCTCAGGGATGTTTTGTGATATATATATGCCACGTCAGCAAACTAACGGAGTTTTTGACATAACCTAACGGCAGGGACTATTTGTGATCACACATAACCTTAAGGACCACAAATGACACAAAAAGAATATTATGGATGCAATTTGATAGTTTCGTAAACCTTATGGATATTTTGTGATATTAAGCCATATTTTTTAATTCCGCCCCTCTTTGTTATACTAGATTTAATATTTTATTATTCTTTTTACTTCAAAAGCATCTCTAATAGTAGTAGCAATTATACCCTTCAAATTAAAGTTTGTTGACCCAATTCAAAAAAGTTTGTTTGCTACTTTAATAATTTGTGCCCTAATAGACTTTTTAATTCAATTAATGCAATATTATGGAAAATGTTGTGAAATTAGAGAATTTGTAAGGAGAAATAAGAGGAAGAAAGAGACAGTATAATTTGCTCAAATCGACTTGTATTCCATTCATATTTGGATCCACTATTTATAGGAGTACATAGGCCTAAATCATTTACCAACCACAATTGGTAGGTTACAAGTATATAATGATGGGTATTATGATAGGTTAATAGTGGCTATTATTGTGGGCATCCATAACCTATAAACCCATAACGTATGGATTTATAACATAAAAAGAAAAATTATGAAAACACATGTGAAGAACGTCTATGTATTTATTATTTGAAAAGAAAAAGTGTAGGTTTTTATCATTTTCAATGTAGTTTCTATTCTTACAAGACAAAATTAAATGTTTTGAAGAGCCAAAGTCAACTGTCAGTTCTGAAGAGAGAGAATGGAGTTGCAGCTTTAGTGACTGAGTTTGACAAGTATGTTGGAGGGAGTTTTGGTGATGTAGCTCACCTATTTTATAATTCCAAAGGGAATATTGGAGATGCTCTTAGTGTTTGTGCAAATAATTTCGCAGGAGAATATTTGCTTTTAGATCCTTCAACCTTCGATCTTCCTTCTCTCTCTTCCTCGAATCCTGTAAAAAAGATTGGAGTAAATAGACCACACTCGAAGGGTGTTGGCCAAAGCCCTCCGATGCCTAAGTTAGTTCGAGTGTTTGTAGAAAAACAATAGCTAAGCAAAGGGTATGGAGTTTATGTAGGGTGTGAACTGGGCGGCCGGAGCAGTGTGGAGAAAATATGGAGAGTGGAGAGGGAGAAAGAGCTTCACATATTTTTCTCGGGTATTAGGAGTAGGTTCAGATGTACCTTGAATGATGAATGAGGTCGTCTATTTATAGGAGCCTCAGGGCTAGGGTTTCGTAGAGAATATGATGAGTTTATTCTCTACCCAAATTCGTAGGGATCTAGTCGGACTTAGATAATATCTGAATTAAAGATATTATCTCTTTTTATGAAGATAATATCTGAATTAAATGATATTATCTCTTTTCATGAAGATAATATCTGAATTAATGATATTATCTTATTAAATAAAGATAATATCATATTAATTAAAATATTTATCCCAATTAATTAATTGGCCAGATAAACTGGTTCAATTAATTAATTTAAGAGATAATCTTCTTTTCCACGTGACGTGCCGTGATTGGAGACGAAAATATTTGCTCCCACACTTAGTATATTGAGACCTAATACTAATTCTATCTTTCCTCTCTTTAGCAATCGTTTCCCCCCTTTTTTATCCTATCATGTCATGCTCCATCACCTCTTCATCTTCTCCCCATCTTCTTTTCATCCAATTTTTTTTTATTTGCAACATTATACAAGAAGCTTCCCAAAACCTTGCAAATTTTCATTAGTGCGCTAGTTGTTTTGTTTTTGTCTTAAGTATCGCACCTCTTTTTTGAGTGGTATTTCCTGCAAACTTTGTAAACTCATTAAATGCATTCTTTTTTTTTATTTGATTTCATATTGGTATTATTGGAAAATTAAACAAACTTTGTTTTACATTTCTATGCAAACCAAAGATGAGAAAGAAAATAAAGTGGTATTTCCTTGTTACTTTCCCAGTATTAAAAATATGGGAACGCAATCTTCCATCAAATCTTTTCCGCGAATCAAATGAGGCCTAAATTTAGAGACTTGGGATCTATCTCCCTAGCATTACCCTAAACATAATAGCCTGCAAATATGCCTGTAGGGTTCAGTGTCAAAGACTAGGATACAAAATTTCTGTCATCCATTAATTTCAAAACATTATATAGCAATTTATACTGTCATTAATCAAATGTTTCATCTGCTTTAATTGGTAGGTCTGAATCTGTACTTATTGACAGCATCGTTAAAGACATTTCACGACGAGTATTGAATGATACAGGCAACTTTTACGTAGCAGATCACCCGGTTGGAATTAAATCCCGTGTAAGTCAAGTGAATTATCTTTTACGTCTTGGGGTAGAAGATATTCGTATGGTAGGGATATGGGGCATTGGTGGAATAGGTAAGACAACAATTGCTAGAGCTGTTTACAATTCAATTGCGCATGTGTTTGAAGGTTATTGTTTCTTGGAAAATGTGAGAGAAGAATCAATGCAACATGGAGGTCTGGTCAAACTACAAAACATTATTTTGTCTAAAATTCTAGGAGGGAAAGAATTGGAGGTGGCCACTGTTCATGAAGGAATCAACGTGATAAAGAAAAGGTTAAGCAAGAAAAGGGTTCTCATAGTTGTTGATGATGTGAACCAAGTAGACCAACTAAAGAAATTAGTTGGAAGGTGTGACTGGTTTGGTTTTGGCAGTAGAATTATCATAACGACAAGAGATAAGCACTTGCTCACTGCTCATCAAGTTAATCTAATCTACAATGTCAAGGAATTGGATGATCACGAAGCTCTTGATCTCTTCAGTGCGAATGCCTTCCCAGGGGAAAGACGACTTTCAGATGATTATGTGAAGCTTGCTAGAATTGTAGTGCAGTATGCTCGAGGCCTTCCCCTAGCTCTGATAATTTTAGGGTCACTTCTTTGTGGTGGAAGTATGGAGGAATTGCAAGATGCAATAGATGGTTACAAAAAAATTCCTAATCCAGACATTCAAGAAACTCTTAAAATAAGTTATAATTCATTGGAAGATTCAGTGAAAGAAGTTATCCTTGACATTGCATGTTTCTTTAAAGGTGAAAATAAGGACTATGTGATACAAATACTAGAATGTTGTGGCCTTAACCCTGAGTATGGTATCAAAGTACTCAAAGATAAGGCCCTCATAAATGTTAAGGAAGGAAATTATATTTGGATACATGACTTACTTGAAGAAATGGGAAAAGAAATAGTTCGCCAAGAGTCACCATTTGAACCTGAATATCGCAGCAGATTGTGGTATCATGAGGATGTTGATCATGTTCTAACAAAATGCATAGTAAGTGGAGTATATATATATATATATATGGGAAATGCTTTATTAAGGATTTTATGTCATCTAATCTCAATCATTGGATCCTTATCAGAGAAGCTATATATTTTTATTTAGTTCCATGAGCACCTTTTATAGAATTTGACTTTGTTATTAAATATCTGCTGAACTAATACCATGGAGATTCAAAAATAGAATTATGAAAAACTTGCATTCTTATGTGATTGTGAACTTTTCTCTGTTAATACTGTTGCCTTTTCATGTTAGGGAACAAATAAAACTAGGGGCATTATGGTAGAGTTGCCTCCAGGAGATGGCATACGATTGAGTGCTTCAAGCTTCTCAAAGATGATAAATCTTAAACTTCTTATATATGGTAATGCACAGTTTTCTGGAGAGGATGCTTTTCTGCCCAATGAGTTAAGGTTCATAGAGTGGCCTGAATTTTCTTCCAGCTACTTGCCATTCGATTCTAATCCGAAGAAGCTTGTTAAGCTGTATATGCCTTGCGGCTGCATGTCGCGACTTGGGAATGGATTCAAGGTATTTTTAATTATTTGTATCCATTGTTATATATTGTCAAAAGAGTGTTTTTTTCAAATGACAACGTATTTATTGTTTTGCCTTGCAGAGTATGGAAAACCTGAAATATATGAATTTTGAAAGCTGCAAATTCCTAATAGAATTCCCCGACGCCTCTGGATTCCCAAATTTAAAGGATTTGAATCTAAACAACTGCACAAGTTTAGTTACAGTTCATGATTCTGTTGGATTTCTTAATAACCTTGTTGACCTGAGTCTTCAGGGATGTGACAAGCTTAAACTTTTTCCATCGAGAATTGCCTTGAAATCTGCGAAACATATATATTTGCGGGGTTGCAGAAGTCTCAAGTATTTCCCTGAGATTGTGGAGAAGATGGAGTGCATAATAGCCTTGGATTTATCCTACACAGCCATAACAGAGTTGCCTTCATCAATTGGATATCTCGTTGGCCTTGAAGTGTTAACTCTAGAAAGATGTGAAAACCTTACAAATATGCCATGCAGCATTTATGAGTTGCAACATCTAACGAGTGTTAGTCTCTATGAATGCTGGAATCTTGTTAAGTTTCCGAAATGGATTGCAGAGTCATTTCCAGGAAACTCGAATGCTTCACCTGACTTGTGGTATCTTAACCTCGCTGGTTGCAAGAGCCTTGAAGAAATTCCTGAACTTCCACCAAAAATGGAACGGGTAAATGCTGCTAATTGTGTTTCATTGGAACGATTTGCAAACTTCTCAAACATCTTAGAGCAAAAGGGGGAACAAATGATTGAATGTGTCACATTGTTTAATTGTCAGAAACTGTGTGATAATCTGGCTCGTGACTTGTCAAAGAATCAAAGTATTTCGCCAAATAAGGTCAGTCTCTGCTCTGTCATTTTCTCATCTCAGCAAGGTCTATTCGACATTGTATTTCCCGGAAGTGAAGTTCCAAAGTGGTTCAGCCATCGCAAAGATTTGTGTAATAAAAGTGATAGATCTGAGTTTTCTTTTGAAATCCCTCTACATTTGAACCTGGAGAACAGAGGTTTGGCTATCTGTGCTGCTGTTGAAATTAGCCAAAGGGAAAAGGGTGAGGAAATTAGCAAAAAGGAAAAGGAAATTAGCCAAAAGGGAAAGGAAATTGGCCAAAAGGAAAAAGAAATTAGCCAAAAGGTGAAGGAAATTGGCCAAGAGGAAAAAGAAATTAGCCAAAAGGGAAAGGAAATTGACCAAAAGTCAGTAAAAATTACGCAAAGTAATTTTGGTCGTTGCCATTTGACAACCAGGTTTGACATTAATGGACAAACAGATGTTGCACCACATTCGGTTTATCTTGACGCAAAATACATGGAGTCTGCTCATGTGTGGCTGCTCTATATTCCATTTCTTAAGATTGTGCAGTCTCTAGTGACGCCTTTTACGGATCAAGTTAGTACTTGTCGGGTTAGGTTGAAACATAGTAGCCAAGGTTTGGTGTTCTGTAAGAGCTGCGGGGTCCACCTGGTAATGCCGCAAGATGAAGACTTGAAAGATGATGAAGATGAGGAAACTCAGGAAAACCTGGAAGATGAGTACTTCAGCTGTGAAGATTTAAAAGACGAGAAGTACTTTGAAGATGATGAAGATCCATTCTGAGAACTATATCCTCTGAACGTGGCAAGGTCAAATACCCTTCTTTTTGTTGGCATTGTTGTGTCTGAAGAGGCTTCTTACAAACAGATATTGTCAAGCCTATGCCTATGTGTAGAATCTATTGATTAATATTTGTGTGAATCTTTTTATTTAATTCGACATTTCCAGGCCAATGCATGGTATTAGTCGTAAGAGGATTTTAGCTTGTTAGACTTCGAGTGAGTGGTGTATACATTGTGGAATGGTGCATATTTGCTCTTTTGCGATATGAGATAATAGAACTGGAGATTTGGTTTGCAGGTTATTATTTCGGGCAATGTTTGTGGCGTGACCGGTGGGAAGAAAAGTAGTTCTGCCAGTTGACAACCACACCACGAAATTCTGCCAGTTGACAACCACACCAAGGAATTTTTTTAAATAAATTGTTGTCGACTCATGAATTTTTTAGCAGGGTTACAATTTTGAAAGGCTAAAAACTTTATATAAAAATATCTTTATAATTAAACAATACAAATGTCATTCATAAGTCATAGAAAATAAATATCAAATTAATCTAATGAAAATAAATATCAATTAATCTAACAAAAATTAAGATCAAATTATCAATTAAATAAACAAATAATAATTAATCATACATCGAGCCATAGAACACCTGGCCTCTTCCTCCTCAAGTATGCTACTAAATACTAATCATATGAACCAAATCAGGTAGGAAAAAAAAACAAAAAGAAGAATCGAATTGGCTTTTGGTCAAGAAGGAAAAAAAACAAATTACTATTTTTTGGATTGGCAGTGCTCAAGAAGGAAAAAAACGCATAATTCATATTATACATGACTGTAGGGCACCACGATGGCAATCTTTATATAAAAAAGTTGATTTCCTTCTTCTTTTTTCCCTCCTTCAGTAATCCTTGGTTAAATAAGAAAGAAAATCTTAGACTGAAATTATTTAAAAAAAAAGAAAAAAAAGAATTGCTTCAAGCCCATAAAATGCTTGCCTTGTTTAAAGAATTGCTTTAGGAAATAAAGCACACTGAAAGAATTGCTTTAAGAACAAATCATTGTTTAAAGCCAACGAAATGCAAGCCTTTTTGAAAGCCCATGAATCCGGTTTCCTCTTCTATTTTTTGGGGATGCAACTCTACACGTTGAATTGTAAATAGAGAGCATGTGTAAAAAGGAAAAGATAGAACAAATTTCAAAAAGGCAAGCAAATAAATAAGGAAAACTAGAGTGTTTGCATTTAAGGCTTTGACCTCATTTCAAAGCCATTTTTCACAACAACTAAGAGCATCTCCAAGGGAGATGTCAAATATCAAACATCAAATTTAAATTTGATGGCTGATGTGGCAATTTGACATCTTACACAGCTTTACACTCCACCCGATATGTCAAATTAAATTATTATTTTATTACATTTTAGTGTTGATTCATTTTTAATTAAAAAGAAAAGAAAAGAAAAAATAATAAAATATTCATTTGACATCTTGCTTTTGGGATGTCAAAAATAACATCTCAACCTCCAGCCTTCATTCCACATCAGCTTTGACATATCGGTTGGAGTGATGTGAGATGTTATTTATAGCTGTTAAATGTCTATGTGGCACGTTTGACACATCGGTTGGAGATGCTCTAAGGCATTTAACTCACTCTCCAAAGAATCTATGTTGTCACTCAATTCCTTCTTGGTTTCCCTGAGAGTGACATTAAGTTCTTCAAGCTCATGGACCTTCACCTCTGGAAAAATGTTCCGTTCTTTGATCTTACATGTTTCATTGAAGAGACCATCATATTTTTCACACAATTCCCTGTAGGTAATCTCATCTAGGTCAGATGACAGGTCATCATCACTAGAGTCAGATTCTACTTCAGACTTAGATTTTCCCTCATTGGCTCTGTGAACTAAATCAGAGGTAAAGTTAGGAGTTGAGACAGCAAGGGCAATATGATTTGTCTCCTCATCAGAGGAAGAGGTATATTCAAAAGTATCATCACTATCACTCTCATTTGAGGATTCCTTCATAAATTTATCTATCCTTTTGTAACTCTTTTTGCGATTGTTCGCACACTCAGCGGCTATGTGACCAATTCCTCCACAAGTGTAACACTGAATAGAGTTTAAAACTCTATTATCTTGGTGATATGAATTTCTATCATACTTCCTCCCTTTTGAATTTTCTCCGTGAGATTTGTATCTAACCTCATAAGATTGACCACTATTTTCCACTAGACTCTCTTCACTTGTCCTTGAGGATTCTCCTAAATTTCTTCACTAACATTTCCATCTCATCCTCAATAGTAGATGATTTTTCAGAGTCTTTTTGTGAAGACTCTTGCACTCCTTCGAGTGCAACACTTTTGGATTTATTGGCATCATTCTCTTCCATGTTCAACTCCATCTCATATGTTTTTAACGTCCCTATCAGTTTGCCATGATTGTTGTTTTCTTTGGTCTAAATCTAGGAGGAAGGACTCTAAGGATTTTCTAAATAACAAGAGGCTCTTCTATGGGCTAACCGAGACTCATTGCCTCATTGGTAATTATTTCTACCCTCTCATAGAACTCAGATATGGTCTCAGTCTCAGACATCCTAAGTTCTTCAAATTGTGCAAGCACCAATTGAAGTTTGAGTGTTCTAACCTGATCATCCCCTTCATGGACAACTCTGAGTTTATCCCAAACAAGTTTGATAGTGGGAATATGTTGAACATGGGAGAACTGGGTACTTGATAAAGCATTTACTAAGGAATTCTTGGCCTTTTTGTTGCAATTGGCAGCAAAAATCTCATTCACAATCCACTCGACCTTTGATTTTGACACAACTTTACCATCAACTGTTTTCACATGATGTCTCCATTCTTTTGTGAGATACTCCTATGCATGTTCATCAAGTGCATCCAGAAATATCTCAAACTTTTCTCTCCAGGAAGCATAATTATTTCCACCAAAGTATGGAGAAGAGTTGCAAGAGCCTACAACTTTTTCCCTTTTCATGATAACACCACCTAAACATCAACTAGCGCCCTATGACCTTTCTATTTGGGTTAAGAGATGGCGCTCTGATACCAATTGAAATTGGTACTTAGGTGGAAGGGGTAATTTTAAAACTTACTTAGACAATTTACCACAACAATAACCAAACAATCCTGGATACAATGTGATTGGTCAACAACTAGTCATAAATTTATCAACAAGATGACAAGGCACATAATTAACTTATATCAATAATTAGCACCTGAAAACCTAGAAGGGTTCTAGTGACAACCTAGGCACTCAGAATGACCCATCAATCTATGCATCCACTAGTTAAAAATCACCCTTGCGCGACGAAAAATTATTCGTCGCTCAAAGCCACTTTGCGCGACGAAACACAAAACTTCGACGCTAAAAACCTTGCGCAACAAAATTTTGCACGACGAATTGTTTTTCGTCGAGCAAAATCACTTTGCGCGACAAACTTTTGCTCGACGACAATACATTGTCGCGCAAAGTCTTGAGCGACCAAATTTTGGCGACGAAAAACTATTCGTCGCGCAAAGTCCTTATAAAAATAAATAAAATAAAAAAAATTCTTTTTTAAAATCTTTTTGTTAGAAATATATTTTTAAAATTGACGATCGAATTAGTTCAGTGTATTCATATAGGGTCAAAGAGTGTAGCTGTTAAAAATCATCAAAATCGGAGTTAAATTGTGATTTTTCAATTATAACCGTCGAAAAGTTTTGTCCTATTACTTGATCTCTGTATATTTATTTTTTCCGATTTTTGGCGTATATGATCTCGAAGTATAAACAAACAAGTTTGATGGTTGGATCGTTGAAACTAGTTTCGTAGAATGCGTATGCCATCAAAACAATATATTCACTAACAATTAAGAGTTTATTTATACTTTTGTTAAATATAACATAAGATTTTGTGGTATCCACTAGTGTAAATATTTTAAATTGACGATCGAATTAGTTCATTGTATTCATATAGGGTCAAGGAGTGTAGCTGTAAAAAAATCATCAAAATCGGAGTTAAAATAACCGTTAAATCGTGATTTTTCATTTATAGCCGTCGAAAAGTTTTGTCCCGTTACTTGATCTCTGAATGTTTATTTTTTTCGATTTTTGCGTATATGATCTCAAAGTATAAACAAACAAGTTTGACAGTTGGATCGTTGAAACTAGTTTCGTAGAATGCATATGTCATCAAAACAATATATTCACTAACAATTAAGAGTTTATTTATACTTTTGTTAAATATAACATAAGATTTTGTGGTATGCACTAGTGTAAATATTTTAAATTGACGATCGAATTAGTTCATTGTATTCATATAGGGTCAAGGAGTGTAGCTGTAAAAAAATCATCAAAATCGGAGTTAAAATAACCGTTAAATCGTGATTTTTCATTTATAACTATTGAAAAGTTTTGTCGAGTTACTTGATTTCTGAATGTTCATTTTTTCCGATTTTTGGCGTATATGATCTCGAATTATAAACAAACAAGTTTGACGGTTGGATCGTTGAAACTAGTTTTGTAGAATGCATATGCCATCAAAACAATATATTCACTAACAATTAAGAGTTTATTTATACTTTTGTTAAATATAACATAAGATTTTGTGGTATCCACTAGTGTAAATATTTTAAATTGACGGTCGAATTAGTTCATTGTATTCATATAGGGTCAAGGAGTGTAGCTGTAAAAAATCATCAAAATCGAAGTTAAAATAACCGTTAAATGGTGATTTTTCATTTATAACTGTCGAAAAGTTTTGTCCCGTTACTTGATCTCTGAATTTTTATTTTTTCCGATTTTTGGCGTATATGATCTCAAAGTATAAACAAACAAGTTTGACGGTTGGATCGTTGAAACTAGTTTCGTAGAATGCGTATACCATCAAAACAATATATTCACTAACAATTAAGAGTTTATTTATACTTTTGTTAAATATAACATAAGATTTTGTGGTATCCACTAGTGTAAATATTTTAAATTGACGATCGAATTAGTTCATTGTATTCATATATGGTCAAGGAGTGTAGCTGTAAAAAAATCATCAAAATCGGAGTTAAAATAACTGTTAAATTGTGATTTTTCATTTATAACCGTTGAAATTTTTTGTCCCATTACTAGGTCTCTGAATGTTTGTATTTTGAGATTTTTGGGGTATACAATCTTGAAGTATATACAAACAAGTCTGACGGTTGGATCGTTGAATGGTGTGTGTGTATATATAAATATTTATTTACTTATTAAGTAGCTTTAAATTTATTTATTTTGTCCGTATAACAATTAAGAAATTGAATAGTATATACATTTATTAAGTAGCTTTAACCTTATTTATGTTTTAAATCGTAAAATAATTTTTTTTAAATTTTTTTTTATTCATAGTGATTATTTTTATAAATATCGTGCTACGAACCAATTTTTCTTCTCTCAAAAGTTTGCGCGACCAACAGTTCATCACGCAAAACTCTAAAAATTTAGGTGGGTACCAAAAATAAGACACGAGATTTTAAAAAAAAAAAATTTAAACTTTGCGCGACCAATACATATTTTTCGTCGTGCACAAATTTAGGCGAGTACCAAAAATGGGACGCGGGAATTTTTTTATATAATTTTTTAAGACTTTGGGCGACCAATATGTATTTTTCGTCACGCAAAAATTTCAAAATTTGGGCGGGTACCAAAAATGGGACGCGGGTTTTTTTTTTTTTTTTTTTTTTTGACTTTGCGACCAATATACTATTATTCGTCGTGCAAAACATTAAGCGACCAATAATCCAATATTTTTCGTCGCGCAAAACTTTGCGCGACTAACAATTTTTTAAAATGAAAATAACTCCTCCACCATTTTCTCAATGTCTTTCTCTTACCTCTCCTCTCTCTTTCCCTCTCCCCAAATCCGACCATTTCTCTCACACTCACTCCTCTCACTTAATCTCTCATCATCTCTCTCTTCACTATCTCTCACTCTCACTCACTCTCTCATCTCTCTTTTCACTATCTCTCACTCTCTCATCTCTCTATCACTATCTTCTCTAATTCTCTCACACTCACTTCTCTCTCTCATTCTCACTCACTCTCAATCTTGCCAAAAGGTATATTCTCTCTAAATTTTAAATTTTTTTCATTAATGTGTTTTTGGAGTTAGTTTTGAGTTTGCGTGGGGAGGGATTGGAGTTTGGGTTGGATTTGTGGTATAACAATTTTAGGGAGAGTAGTTTTTTTTTTTCTTTTTTTTTTTTTTTTTTTTTTTTTTTGACCTTTTTTTTTGGGTAGGGAATCATCAAGACTTTGACGGCTAAAGTTGAGGATTAGGAAGATATCAAAACATATCCTCCACCACTACCACCACAATACGCTTGTATTGGGATTTTATTATTGTACTTTGTTAATTTATGTGTACATTTTGAATATTATATATATATTTATTGGATAATTTGATCACTATTTTTCATATGTAATTTTATTTTGAATATGTCAATTTAAATTAAAGTAATTAAAAAAAATCATACAATTAAATTAAATTTAAAAAGTAAAAATTCAAAAAAATTAATATAATTAAATTAATATTAAAAAAATAATAAAACAAAAAGTCAAAAACCAAAATATTTCGTCGTGCAAATATTTGTGCGACATTAGTATTCGTCGCGCAAAACTCTAAAAATTTGGGTGGGTACCAAAAATGGGACGCGGGAATTTTTTTTTAAATTTTTTCGTCGCGCAAAACTTTGCGCCACCAATGTTTTTCGTCGCGCATAACTTTGCACGACCAATATTTTTTCGTCGCGCAAAGTTGCTTTGTGCGACTAATATCTTTCGTCGTGCAAAGTCACTTTGTGCGACCAATATGTTTTGTCGCTCAAAGTCACTTTGCATGACAAATATTTTTTCGTCGCGCAAAGTCTTTCTTCACGATCTTTCCGCGACGAATTCTGCGCGACGAAGTTTTTGTTGCGCTGAAATTTGTGCGACTACAATGTATTTTGCGCGACGAAATTCTCTTCGTCTCGCAAAGTGTAAAATGTAGTAGTGATCCTCTATGCTAGCAACAACAAAAGATTAGAGCATGTGAACATTCATTGAATCAAAATAGAAAAACTCAGCTGTTTATGACTAGTCAACAATCAAGAACATCAAACCCAAAAAATGAAAACCCACCATTGGTAAAAACTGGGAGTCATAATCTGACCAGGCAATCCACTCAGCAAAGAAGGTTCTTACAAAGATTACAACCACAAGCTCAAGAATCTATGGTCTATTTAGGAAAAGCTATACCTCTTTGTGCAACCTTCTTCTCCAAGCTTAGAAAGAACTAGCAGCTAGTCTTTTATAGAAGTAGCAGCTAGTCCATCAACTCATTCACTCCATGGCACCGGTGACTCAGCTCTTAAAGAACATATGG